TGCAAAACGGGACGGAAAACATGAAATTTTGCAATAATCTTGCGCCACCCTTGCACAAAACGACGATAATTTTTCTAATTTCATAGACAACAGAAACCCCTGAATTTAAAGCTGGATTCGCCCCTGGTCGAAAGTGCTTAATGTTTAATGGAAAAGGCTCAATTCCTATATAGGCACATGCTTTGTGGTCTACATCGTCCATCACAAGTTGCACGTGAAGGAATCGTGGATAGTTTTTCTCGGGTTTATCAGCCTGACCGCAGGCGCTCTGATCCAAGGCTTGGCTCAGGTAGACTGGCTGATCTACGCAGGTAAAACCCACATTCTGAGCCCTTCTGGTGGTGACTGAGACTTTTTGATGCAGCTGCCGTGGTGAAACTGCCCAGCGGCGGTCTGAGCCCGATGACTAGATCGCTGTTGTCCAAGCTGGTGGACAGCGCGGAGGCCGGGAAGATCTTTGCCCTCATTACGGTGATTCAAAACGCTTTGGGTATGAATCAGCGCTTCTGATTGCATGAATAAATGGTTTGGCTTCAGGTCTCATCGGATCTCCCATTTACATCAATCTGTACAACGCCACCCTGAGCACGAATCCGAGCGTGTTCAACTATTTAACATCCGGCATTTTGGCAGCGAGCGCTGGATTACTTTTGTAAGTTTTCTTATTTCTATTAGTTTTGAAATTCATCAAGTGGAACGGGGGGCGGTTTCAGGGGCGTGTTGGTGCTTCAAAGACGAACCAGCAGGGAAGATTATTCGCGCTTGGAGGCAGAAAGTGCGCCTTCCGACCACCCCATTGATTCCAGCGATCGATTGGTGAACTGATCAATGCAGGTGAACTATCGGATGATTTTTTTTTAATTTAAATACACACAGTTTGTTGAATCATTTAGTTTTACCCCGCTCCGATCCTTTTTGTATGATCGTGCAAATATTTCTAGATTATTTCATAATTTTTCGCGAAAAATACCTTAAGATTGTCAGCATTTTTAAGTGAAACTTTAGAAAACTAGTTTTTTTCAAAAATAGTTTAGGAGTAACTTGGCTAAACCAGGAAAATTCTGAAATTTTGAAGAAATTTGAAAAATTTTATTAATAAATGGCCCTTAAAATAAATCTGAAACAAGTAAAAAAAAGCCATCAACATTTTCCCAGCAACGGAACGGAGTTACTGCGCCGGTGCGTTGGGTTGGCGCACCAAGCCATTTGCGTGACACTGCGCCAACTCAAAATCATTGAGTTACCCAGACCTAACGGAAAAGTGAGACAAGGAAACATACAAAAACATGTAATATCATAAACTTTACTCGAAATTACACAAAATAAAAATAATTCAACATTACTAAACTGGTTCAACCCGCCCATCTCTAGTTACAACTGAACAGCACGTCAAAAAATGACACTTGCCGCCTTTAAATTAACCTAACATTTCTGGCCCTAACTTTTCAAACAATAATAATTAAGTAAACCCGTTAATAACTACGAAAACTGTGGAATGGAAAAGGTGAAAACTTCACTGAAAAGACGAGAAAGCCTTGGTAGGTTTTTACCATTGCAATTAACCACATGATAATCATGCAATCGTTTTGGACTTTCAGATTTGTTCAAAGATGAGGACATTAATCAAAATAACGCGACCAGTACGCCGGTACGAAGCCACAATCGTTCAGAGGATGAGGACAGTCCATTATTTGCCTATTCCACTCAAGAAATGAGAGAAGAGGTTGATGTTTTATGGGATTACAGTTCGCCAAAGTCCAGCAAGCCGAAAACCGTTAGAAAGTCCAAAAAGAAGCTTATTCTGCACCAGTCGCCTAAAGTAGCATGTAGGCAGCCCTCAAATAACAGCAATCAAATCAAGCAAGATCTGCTAAAGCTTCGAGAAGAACTGAAGGCTTTAAAGGCTGAAATGGCCAAACCGGATCATGAAGAGAGCCTAATTCTATCACCGAGGGAGGAAGAAGACTACAGGGAATCAGTTCAAGGGTTGGAGCAAATAATTGAAGAACAACCAGTGTGTGAGAGCGACTTTGAAGATCCCTTTGATGATAACATGGATGATCAGTTGATAATGTTCAGTCAGCAGGTGGAAAATCAAATTCAAAAGGGCAATATCGAGTCAGGGGCAAGTAACATTATTGTGCCAAAGCCAGGAAAAACTGTATACTCAACATGTGAACAGCCAAACATAGAAAACAAACTCAAAACAAACTGTGATAGCACTGTTGGAACAGTCGTTGATCATCACCCAGTAAACAATCACATTTCAATATCAAAAAGCCGATGTGCTCGCGGGAATGATGACTTCAATGATTCCTTTGACCAAGTCCTGTCCCAGCTGAAAGACGATGATTTCAGCCAGATCACTCAAGTGTTCTCGCCTCCAGAGTATATAAAAGCCGGAATAGTATCTATTGTCGATAAGAAACCAAAAGTTTTCCCTAGGTGCGTTTCTGAGGAAGCCAGCAAGAGTAAATCGATGCAGAATAAGGTTCAGTGGCACAGAACACAAAGTTTCGAAAGCTACAGTAGCTGTGAGTATTCGAACTACCAAACCCGCCAAGAAATAACAGCACGTTGATTGTTTCCAGGCCACTTCTCCAAGCAGAAAATTGATGAAATCGAGAAGAAAAGACTGGAAGCAATAGCAAGACTTGAGGCTAAAAAGAAACAACCAGCGGACATTTCGGATTGTATGCCTTCATTCGCAGACTGAGTCTTTTCGCTAATAGATTCGAATATTTTAGCTCCCTTGAAATGCTCACCGGAGGAAATCGAGAAAAAGCGGCTTCAAGCGCTGGCAAAACTTGAGGCAAAAAGACAGAAGGATATCATAGAGAAAAAGAAGCAAGACGCTCTCAAGCGCAGAGAGGAGCGTCGCAAGACAAGCGCCTCTCAAGTGAAAAGCTCTCTGAGCACCAGGCTTTAGTTTGGCGCCGAAGTAATGTGATTGTAAATAGGTATTATAAATTCCATTCTATTCCATTCGAAATCTCTATTTAAGATTAAAGATTATGTTTAAGGCACTTTTAGCACAATTTTATAGAATTGGGCCGAAATACCGAAAAATCCGTTTAATTGTTTGCTTTATTAAAGTGTTCCGTTGTTAAGAATGTTAACGCTTTCGATTTCGATTCCTTTTTCGTAGCAAATCTCATTGGAAACCATTGTCAAATCCTTGCGCGGCACTATCCATATCCGTTTGAATATCTTTGTCCCTTTCTTTGAGAGTTTTTAAGTTCATCATACCGCAATCGTGCAAATACTTGGGCGGCGTAATTTCCGGCCTTTCGATGAGGAATTCACAAAAAGCCCTGGTAGATCTACATCAGAGGAGTGTAAGGCTTAGCAAGAAACGTATCAAGCCCACACTAACTTCAAATGGGTGATTCCTTGCCAAACTGCTGCCATGCTGGCTAATTTTTCCGGCACTCGGTCGCAAGTGATCCATTTTCTGTAGTAATTTTCAGCAGGAGGCCTTACTTGCATGTCGTGCGGCAAATGCCTCCCAAACGCCGTGTATGTAGTTCTTTTCTTGCTTGCTTTTACATCTTTGGCAATTTCGGCGCGCAAAACTGCTCGTTTCGCTTTCTATGAAAGACCACTTTTCAACAGTTAATATTGCGTGTTCTGCTAGGGGGTTTGGGACTGGTTTGTAATTCCTTTTATTTTCTTAAGAACGAAAATAATTAAAATTGCGGATTTTCAAAATATCTTCCAGTTGATGACTACTACTAATAATAATAGTGATAATAAATTCTCCATTGATCAATAAAGTCCGTAAATTCATATTTGTTCTATACCGAAATAAAAAAGTATATTTTAAGGGCGCATTTAACTGCATTGCGACTAAATTTCTAGCAAAATCCATATATTTGATAGTTTCGTTGTCGTTTGATTTTCTTTCTTCCTTCCCCCTTGAGCGAAGGAAGTTTTAGCAAGCAAGATGCAGCTGCTCGCTTCAAATTCCCTAAATAATATCTGCCATTTTTAGAAAATAAAAGGAGGTTCATTCCAGTCCCAAACCCGCTACCCGAGGCTTTAATTATATACGGTGCCATGTATATTTGGGCTTTTTCATATCTGTATAAGGTCTATTTAGCCTTGAATTTGCGGTACTTATTTTTGAGACATTCTAAACGTGCCTGTACATACTTTTGGTAAATGTCGTGTTTCAGCCACTCTTTTCGGTACCGAAGGCATTTCGCGTACATTCACTTTAAGTGAAGTGGCTGTATTGGCATGGAACCCGATCTCGAACATCTCAATCACCGATTGGACACTCAATGAGAGTTCTTCGTCGCCTCCAAGATCTTTGAGCCAGTTGATAAAGTCTGCGGCTATCTGGAAAAGACTGAGGCGTTGAATTTGGAAGCATTCCGCCGAAGGAATTGGCACCTTTTCGGTAACAGCATCGGCTTTCTGGTTCAGGTTCATTTCTTCCATGGATAGAGGCGGCAAAGTGCGCCAAACAGCCGCTCTGGATGGCTGTCGCTTGAAGAAGTTGGTGTACATTTGGGATTTGGGAATAGCTCTATTCACCCTATAGCAGCAGTTTTTTTCTTATAAAAGCTGCAAGGAACTTGTGGGGGACTTACAAGGGGTTTTCCGGTAATTCCCCGTCTGGTAGGCCCAAGTCGACCTGCACTGCTTGCAGTTCTTTGGCATCAATCACGCTCCTGCAACAGCATCAAAATTCCCAAATGCAACAAAGAGGCAAGAAATCATTACTCATTAGTTTCAATTCTCTTGTTAGTGGCTGTTTCACTGTCATCCCCGTGCTTGTCCCGAATTTTTATGGATTTCAGCATTTCGGCTATTTCTTCATCGGGCCTCTTTTCCAACTCTTCCTTGAATTGCCGGCTCCTACTGCCGCAGATCTTCATCATTTTCACTACAAACGTGTGGTCGAACATGCTCTCCAAGATATCTCGTTGTTCTTCCGGCGGCTGGAAGTGAACTGCGTTTTAGCTTCTTCGATTGCAACTTGAATAAAGTTGCACTGACAATATTGGCATCGTCTTCCAAAGTCTTGAACATGTTGTACCACCATTTTCTGATCTCTGGAGAGTCGCGCTCGTATTTATTGCGGAAAACCACCCGCTTGCATGGTCGCTTCAGGTCCTCCTCTCTGCTGGATGTTCTGGAACATTTTGCGTTTTGAAAAACATTCCGGTTTTACTTAGGATTAAAGGAAATTGAACCGTACATTTCTGCAGCTGTAGTTGCAGCTACAAAATCGCGTAATTTGGCGGCTTCTCGTTGAGGCTCTTGCATGATGTTGCGCTTTGCTGTTTTCAAATAGCTCAAGCTGGACAATCCGCTCATTTGCGATAGATTCGTCTGACCATCAAAGCTTTCGCTAGTCGACCGTTTATCCATAATAATCAGTATTTGACGGGGAAATTGGAAACTGACGGAAATTAAGACCCAATGCCACCAAGCAATGTTTGGTCGATTTTACTACGGTGTGCGTTTCCCCCAGTGGTTTAGGCGATTAAAACTGGACACTTGACTTTAATTTGTAATTTGTATTATTGAATTTATTCCCCATTAAATGTTTTTTAGAAATAAAGAATATTTTTAAAATTTTACTGCTCAACTTATAACCGTTTTTTTTTTGATAATATTAATAAGCGCCGCAAATGTTGATTTTTTAAATAATTTAAATATTAATATGTCCCAAATTAATCAAATTAAACTCATAAAAAATATATTCACGAACACATTGAGCTCTATCTGAATCATTGATGACTATTTGAAACACATTTGAAATAGGCAGGAATTCAACCGTAAAAAAATTTAACAATTTTAATTCGCGTCTATTTCTGAGAAGGAATTAAAATAGTTATTTACTCAAGCGATTACCGTTAATCTACGAGCGCGAGCTCATGACTTATATCAATATTTGATCAGTGTATTAAGCCGTACCACTAAACGCGAATACAGTTTATCCGGAACCGTCGTATCATACGGAGCTACTTAAAAATCACAGGCAAGAACAACAAAAAGTCGTTCAGCTCTAAATTTAAATAGGGCTTTCCCTCATTAGCATATAATTGGCAACAGCGGGCGTTGTCACACAACCTCACGATCACATGGTTTGTGTTGATGTTCACTTGACAGAACACAGATGATGACCATGACAGCGAGAAAAATTGAAGTGTCTATGTGAGTTGAGTTGATTAAAATACAATTTATTCTTGCACTAAACTGTTATCAGCTAGATGCTGTGATAGCAAACTAGTGACAGACATTCCTTATCTCAACCCTATCGAATAACCGACAAACAAATCAGTTTAGATAGTTGTTTTTTTTTTGTGAGTAGAAAGTGGTGCTGTGCTGGTTCTTGTGGAGGCCTTTGCTAACATTGCTGTTTTTATTTTACAGTCCAATGTCGCTGCTTTCGTTCACCAAAAGTGTGGACAGGGGCTCCTATGAGAAACTCTCCATACGCGACAGCGCCAGGTCATTGAAGAAATATGGCTCAACGAGCAGTAAAAACAACACGAAAAACGAAAACTACATTCAGCACTTTGTCAGCAATAGCGACACGTTGCAAGGGATCGCCCTCAAGTACAATGTAACTGTAAGTGCCGGAAATCCCGTTGAGGCTTCGTTAACCAACCAGGAATCTTTAACTCTTTAGATAGAACAGATCCGAAGGGCCAATAAACTATGGGCTTCAGACAGCTTGTTTCTGCGGGAATTTTTGTTGATTCCGCAAGCGGACAATGCGAATGATCTCCAATCGCCATCCGAGGCTCAATCCACTAGTTCCCAGTCCTCAATCGCCAGTCCCAGTATGGAAAATCTCAATCAGAACAACCGCATGTCGATGGGTAGCAGCACCCGAAGCGACAGCTTTGATGAGGAGAATATCAGTGATTTTTTGAGCAAAATCGATGCCTCGATAGCCAGCACTAAGCAGGTGGTCCAGAAGGTGGCAAACAGCAGCGAGTAAGTCCTGAATTTTGTCTCATAATCAACAACAATGGTTGGTTTATGCAACCGATGATTTTACAGTTTTTGCATGAGTAAAAAAGTCGTACAAATGACCAATTACTTTTAGCCAAAGCCTTCAAATTATCTGCTAAATGTCGAGCTGGAAGGTTCAGTTAAATCTCTCAATCCCAACCGTGAAGGTCAGTTAATAATTGCAAAGATTTTTTGCTAATTGAAAATTGACGAAATTGTTCAACCGAGTTGAACCTCCACTTCAACAGTAATAAACCCAATAATAGAATTTTATGCGCACAGTTTCATGGAAAGGATTAATAGATCAATTTGGGTCGCGTCGCATAAAACTTGGCTAATTTCTTTACAACTCTTGTTATCCCTTTCATATGACTTGATTCCTATATAGTTTCGAATGACTTAAAGGTGTACACGAAATGACTTTCATTAGATAAGGCTGTGAATGGGCTCAAAGTGAAGCTGAAGTAGAGTATGCTGTTTTGCAAACTTATTCATAATCATCAAAACAAAATCTTGTGAGACATCGTAATGCGGCTATAAATTTTACTTGATATCCCATCAGATAAAGCTAATTTAAAACCAGTAGATCTTCGTTTTTAATAGAAAACTCTAATTTTTACATGGAAAAACTTTTGGGTTTGCACATTATTGAAGGTGATTATGTTATTTACAAACGAATGTTCTTTGCATTGTTCTCTCTGTGTGCTTTGGGATAAAGAAGCTACAATATTGCTGAATTCATTAAAATTGAATGCTTTTACTCATCAGCATTTTGTACTTTTCCCATATAAAACTTGCCTAAATTGCTGGTAAACTGTGATGATTAGTGCGAGCTATTAATTTTCCTCGAACAGTTGACTTGACCTTTTCGTATAGATTAGCACAATCTTGATAACGGCGGAAACTAATTAGAGTCGATGGTTTGAAAACAGTTGAATATAGAGCAAGATAAATCCTCCAGGTGTACACAGAATACACAAGCCGAGAAGAATCGCGTTATTTTTACGATTCTGTCTTCTGTTCTTTGAGCTAATTGAAAATTTCGAAGCGACGAAAGATTCATTTTATTCAGCCATTCGAATTCTACTGGTTGCTGAACTTAAGAGTCAATTTTATTGATTTTTTAATTTTTTGCAAGTTGAGGCGATTCAACCGCCGATTGTTGGCGCGGCGTTCCAAATTTTTACAGATCGTCAACAGTTTTTCTCGATTTTATACGCTTATGTAATACTTAAAAAACCCATTGGAATGAGAATTTGTTAGCAAATTCTAGACCCAATTTTGACCCCATAGATATCTTAAAAATTGTCACTTGTGCTGCGTTGCAAATTTGTGCAGAACGTTAAGAAATTATTATATTTTAACATAACATTATAATTATCTAGATTTTGAAAAAAGTCAGACATCATGTACTTATCTAGTAAGTAGCTATGTTCATTTGACTAGAATTGTGCAAATTTCCACTAGATTCGGTTCAGATATACCGGCAGATCAGCGCCGAAGGCCTCAATCACGCCTCAAACAACACTATCAGTCGCAACAGTCTCAAAACAACAACAGCGCTGGATCTGAGAGTTCTTCGCCCAATCCCGTGGCTGCAGTTAACACAAAAGTGACGGTGCAACAGGGGAAAAAAGTCAGAACCAGTCTGGAGCTCCATGAGCAGCAACAGGAGCAACTCTTCGAGTTGTAGCAGGAGATGTTGCCATGGTTGGAACCACTTCGTCCCTCTGAACAGTCTATTGCAAACTCCGTTTGCAACATGAAGTATAAAGGAACGAAGATACCAGTGTGATGCTTCTAGGAAATAATTCAGAAATAATCTTTTCGTTCAAGTAGCCCAATGGCTACTTTTATTGTTGTTAGATTTTATCGTTGTCCAAAGTAAGCTTTAGCAATAACGCTATATAAATGAATATATGTTTGTTGGAGTAGCCTCAAGGCTCGAACACATTTCGGGGCTTTTAAGAGCAAAGAACAGACTACCTAAGTCAATCTAATAGTAATATGGAAATTGCAATATTTGTGTTTGAAAAAAATGTGAATTAAACTACTCTAGACGGGCGCCGTTCAGGGAATTTCGTTGGAAACGGAAAGAGTGTACGCTTATAACATCTTATTGTTTTTTACTAATCTCATCGATTACAAGCTAGTGAATAGGTTTTTACATAATTCTTGCCACTTGCAGTTCAAATCTCCCAAAAAATACTCATTTTAACGTCCATAGGCCAAGAAACCTTGAACAATGAGCCTACTTGCAACAGTTTATTGCATTGTTTAGGGCCTCAGATGAGATGGCATTTTATTTTTTTATTTTATATTGCTTTTGTTCCGTTTAATTGATATATTTTATTTGGAACGTTATTACCTCAATTGCAGTCGCAATATTATGGGACGGCGTGTATTAGAACTATTAATTCCTATTTACTTACCAAGTTGAGTGTTAATAAGCTGCTTCTCAATCGTGCTTTATTCCAATTGCAGCCGGTATATCCAGACGCAGTCTGGCATCCAGGAAAGTAAATAATTGTCCAAACGCTGTACCTAAAAGAAGTTTGGGCATTAGTTTTAGATATATGTTTTATACAAACGATCACTGTAACTGAATAATGATTATAATAATGCACAACTTGTAGATTTGTAAATATATAAAATATTTATTACTCAACGATTAGCATGTTGGCGTTTTTTCATGATTGTTGAGAACGATTTCTAATGACGGCTTATATTTTACCCAACATTATCTTTGTGTGATTATTCCCATGGCTTTTGTTTTGTGATTAAGTGGATGTTACTATTAAATAAACGTTAATTTTTGTAGAACAGCGGTTTTGCCAACACGTATATATCAATTCAACAAAACTCTATCACCAGTTTCAACTAATACACTTAACTTCCTAGAATTCAACCTGAAATGTTTCAACTTAGTGTACTTTTAGTGCCTAATCAACGTTACTTATTTTAAGTTAATTGTCCAGCCTCAAGTATAAACTAACTCTATTTCCGCTCTAAAAGTTCAGCAATTCTTTGCTCGTTCTTTAAGATCGTGCTCCTTGCTTCCCGAATTTCCCGTTCCTGTTTACCAATTTCCTGTTTTAGGTGATCCAACTTGTCCAGAAGTGGTTTGGTAAATTCCACTGCCGACCTATAAGAAAGATGAAGATTATTCTTTTAATTACTTAATAATCACAGTTGAAATGGTGCAGCTAAATTCACAGGTTTGTGGAAAAGAAGATCAACTAATGATGGGAGTAATCGAATAATTTTTTCTATCCAAGTGTACCCAAAGATGCTCAATTAGCTTTAAGTCCGAAGATTGCAATACCCATTTAAAAAAATAAAATAAAATCAAGTCATAAGCGCGCGATTGTCCTTTTTCAATCAATTTGTTTGGTTTCAGAACCATGCCCTTTGATACCAATAAACACTTAAATCCTGTTTTCCTCGACACGAATGTGGCTTTGATTCGATTATTCCCCTCATTACTTCAAGTCAGTTGCATGCGTTTCAATGTAAATCATCTGTTGAATTGATAATATCCAAAAATCGTGAGCGGTAAGTTAAATATGTACAATCTTGGGTTTCAAGCATACTTTTTCTCTTTTTCAATCTCCACATAGAGCTGCTTTTTCGTGTTGGTCCACATCTGCAACTCATTATGCATCGCTTCCAGATCTTCATGAAGATAATTCATCAATTTGCCCAGGGGATTCGCCGCTTTGGTCAAGGATTGGATGAGTGCTCGAAGCCGCGTCACTTCTTTAGTGGTGGCGTCTTTGCCTCGCAAGCCTAGTAAGTATTTTAGTTTTGTAGCTGTTGTTCATACCATTTGAGTTCCTAGGCCTACCATCCTGCTCCCAATCGATTTCCACTTTTTTCCTAACACCCTCCTGTCCTTGTATTTGTTCCAGGATTTGCTCGACCAGTTGGCCCTTGTTGTCGCCCGAAATGTTCAGCAAATCCGTCTGGATTTCGTTGTCTTCAATTATGTCGGGATCATTCTGTAAAATACCACTCAAATGTCCAGTTATTAGCGCTGGTTAGACCATACTTGTATCACAACGGTGTCCTCTTCGTCACCCATTCCACTATCGAAATTCTCTACAATCACTTTAATGTCGCCCATGGCCATCGGTTCGCTCGCAGGTAGAGCCGATTCGGGTCTTAATCGGGGGGCTCCAGGCCTAGCGCTGGATGGTCGCACACTAGGAGGACGCAGAGAACTTGGGGTTCTTGCAGATGAAGCTAAAAAACAATAATAAAATATGTGGAAAAACGCTCGATAACTTACCCATAGAGACGATGGGAACGGAATCGGCGTCGTCTCCTATTAAATCATCTTTTGGCTTGTTGGGCCTTTCGCCGCTTTTCGGTCGCGCGGATTTGGGTCTTATCAACCCCGCGCTACTTTGCCGCGCGTTTGAGAAATTTGTCATAATATCCTCTTCAGGTTTCACTACTTCTTGAGCCTTATCCGGCTGTTCTTCCTTCGCTTCTATTGGTTGGGGTTGGGTTTCCGCTACAATTTCCTTCGGAGGTTCTTCAGGAATTTGCTGTACCTGTTCATCCTCAGCAATAGTCTGAACAATGTCGTGATCGTTTTGTGTGCTGTTCTTTTTTAATGGGGCTTCTTCAGTTTTCTCCTTGTTTTTGCTTTTAGCAGCTTTTCTTGTGCTGCTTCTAGACGACTGTTCTTTAGGTGTTTCTGTAACTGTTGAACTTTTTTTCGTTCGAGACACACTGGATTCTCGTGGTTTTCTCGAGCTGCTGTCTTTTGAGCTGGTTTTTTTGCTGGTTTCCTTTTCGGTTCTGCGTCTGTCTTTGGGTAGTATTTCTCCTGATTGTAGTTTTGCCACGTAGCTCTTCGTGTCGATTTTTTTCTCAATGCACTTGCCGATGGTTTGCAGCAGCACGTTGGTTTCAGTTGGCTCAAGTCCAGCAACCACTTTGCTTGGTCGCACTTTCAGATCTACCTTGGAAACTGCCTCTAAACCATAATAAGAAACGAGCGTTAGCGTTAATACATTGCACAGGACATTATTGATCATTTTTAATAAATACAGTAAAACCCCTTTAATCCGAACGTCCGGCCGCTGCTGCTATAGTCGAACAACTATTCGATTATCGGAACTTGTCTGTCAATAATTAATTCGGATTTCAGAGATTATACTGCAACAGGGAGCAAAAAAGTCAAGTTAAAGTAGAACAAAATATCTCCCTTACTAACAGCTTCAATGAGTTTCGTTAGAAACGCAACTTTGGCCTCTTTTTCTTTGACCTTTTCCGAATTGAGTTCATCGTCGCTAAACAAGCCGCTTAAAAATCCCGTTTCCTTGATCACGCACTTGATGATGTCGTGCAAGAACCGAAACGGCGGTTTTTTGAGCAATTTCTCGCTCAAAATCGGCTTTTTCACGTATTTTCCCAAATATTTTTGGGTTTTTGCCACATTTTCCGCACTCACGTCTGACATCTTTTCAAACTGAACGCCAACATGTGTACATTCCGTTGCTATAGCAACCGGTGATGCCAGTGCGCACTAGTTTGAATGCAATGTTGCCTTTATGCGCCGTTAAATTTTACAATAATTTATTTATATCCGAAATTTTTTTAAATTAACATAATTTTTTTGAGTGGTATAGATTCCAGAAAATTTTTATATAGAAAATATTTATGATAACCCACTTCTGCTTATATAAAGTACAATTAACAGTTAGTTTGCACCAAACATATTAATAATTAACAATATGAGCTTAAAACACTGGTAGATTGGCTGACGTCACTGCCGAGCAAATAGAAAAAATCAATCGGGAAAAGAAGAGGATCAGTGCACAAAATATCCCCCCTAGGGGGTATGTTCTGTGGATCAGTGAGCCATCTTGTATTTTTCTGAATGCACCTTTGCAACCGCGGTTGTCCAACTTTAGGGGCGGAAGCTTATTAAGATTTCGATCTTATTTCGCTTCCATTTATCTTACCATTAGCTTGTGAACTGCCACATAGATATAGAGAGAAACTCTAGGTAAATTCAGGTAAGCCGAAAGTAAATTGCAAATGTAGGCTTTCCCGTAGACATGTTTGTTATGAGAGTCATCAACTCCGAAAACCGGACAGATCGAGAAACATAACCTAAGTCCTGTCAATAATATTTACTAAAAATAAAAACTTAATACTATGACTGCAAAAACCCGTAACTTAGAACGTAAATCTAGCGTTGTAAGTTGGATAAAAGCAGGCACTTAAACCATTGTTTCTTGCATACATTGTAGGGCCAGGATGGCTGCACGAAATGTGGCCAAAAGGGAATTGGATGATGGTAGGGTAAAGATTGACCCAGAAGAGGCGGAAATTATAATAATTGAAAGCGTCAACGATTCCGAGGACGAGGCACACGATCAAATAATTTCCCGAGAGAACATTCCTCACATTCTACAAAACTACTCCAAGGCAAATGGAAACGTCCAGCTGGTCCAGTTGGATGATGGAGAGTATTCGTATATTATTGAGTAAGTCCTTTACACCGAGATAACGTTTTTAACCACTGAAAACCTTCCCTTGATGTCTGATAGAAACACTAATGAATGTGAGTCCGGCGTTCAGTACAATGTGACTGATAATGACCATTACATCATCGAAGAATACCAGGAGGACTCAGAGGAAACTGCTGCTGAGCTTCCTGAGTTCGAAACCATGTATATTGAGTCTGTGGAGTCACCTCATGGTTAGCTGAAATACTTTAAGCAAATGGCACTATTGCAGACGTACATGTTTCTTATAGAAGTCTACACATTATGCGAAGAGGATGAAACCAGTGTGGCTGATGAAGATCAGGAGATGGTAGTGGATGAAGAAAGTGAGATGATTCCTGATAAGCAAGAAGTAAAGGCAAATGACAATAAATCGTCTGTAAGTATTCAAATAGGAAATACCGAATACATGAATTTTCCATTATAAACGTCTTTTAAACTTCTTCGTCGTTCTCTTCTAAGCGCCTTTTCGTAGAATCAGTTGACAGTTAGGCTTTCATTCGCTTTCGTAATTTGCCAGTTTGACGGGCACTTCAAGTTTTTATAATATTACAGCTTAATCCACACCTTTAAACAGTAGATTCATAATGCAGATTAAACAATTTTTCAGAAACTCTCAAACATATTTATAAAAGTCCGAAAACAATCTACCAAAGCAGAGCATGTAAGCGAAGATCAGGCGCAAGGTGACTAAACCCGGTTGAATATTTCGAAGGCCTCTAAAATTAACTGTTTGCAATTTACATTTTCTAGTTACTGAAGAGAAATGCATTAATCCTGAGACAGTTGAGCAGGATTCTAAGACGATGCAGCAAGAAGAAGAGATATCTTCCATGGACTTTTTGTATGAATGTGGTATTTGCGGCAAGACCTTTTCCAGTGCAACAGTAAGCAGCAGTATGAACGTTAATTAATCGAGGAAAAACTGCTGATCGTTTGTGTTTTTAGGGAGTGAAATGGCACATTAGTGCCAGCCACATTGATTCACCAGCTCCCACTACCGACCAATTGTCGTTTTCGCTATGTGCTTGTTGTGGGGAACCATCAGACTCAGCTCATACGGTACGCAACCCTTAGTTAACTTTTCTAGCATTGCGTTACGCTTTGTTTGCAGACCGGAGACTTCAATTGCGATGAGTGTGGCAAACTGTTCATCTATCAGAACTCTTTGGACAGACACAAGAGCATCGAACACCCAGTTGGGGATAAATATTTATGTTACGAGTGCAAGAAAGTGTTCTGTAGTAAGTTGTTCACGTTGAGATAACGGAGTTAGTTTTTCTAGTTTTCGATTGAACTATGAAGCTCTGGTTTTTATTGCGAGATCGAGCTTTAAAAAGCGCAGTTTATTATACTAAACATTGTAGGAACGCTATTTTTGCAGGAAAGGACCTTCTGGTGGAACACACAAAAGTTCACTCATTAAAGGCGGTGAAGTGCGGCGATTGCGGCCGGGAGTTTTCGAGAAAGTTCCATTTGGACCGACATATTGGGCAAACTGGCTGCATGGGATTGGTCAAGAAAGTCTACGACTGCAGAGTAACAATATGCAACCAATAATAAAAAAACGCCATTTTATCAACCATTCCCAACAGGTCTGCAATAAAACATTCACACGCAAAGACAATCTAGCCGACCATCTGAAGGCGCATGCAGGAATAGCGATGAAGAGAAGAAAGCCGAGCACCTGCGAATTTTGCTTGAAGGAGTTCAGCGGAATCTCGCTCCTGCAAATCCACATCCGAACGCATACAGGTATGGGACTCCATGATCTTTCGCTGATACTGTTAGTTATTGGCCGATTTCTAGGGGAACGACCATTTGCTTGCGATGTTTGCGAGAAGAAATTTGCATCTGCAGGCGCTATGACGAAACATCGACGGAAACATACCGGGGAGAAACCCTATATATGTCCTCAGGTAGGAGTGCAGTTTTTTCTGAGTTTTTGTATTGACAATTTAATTGGGTTTCAGTGCGGGTCTCGATTTGCCGCGAAAGAGACGCTGAATCGCCACTGGCGAATCCATACCGGGGATAAACCACATAAATGCAGGTTTTGTGGAAAAGTGAGTAGCGCTATGTAGAACTTCCAATTTTAAACTATACAGAAACGACCGAAAACCGTCGTTCATTAACTAAATATTTCAGCAAACTGCGCTAAGCCATTACGGTGGTTTGAGTTTAATTTGTAAACTAAACTTTCCATTCAATTTCAACTTTCCAACGATTTAGAGCAACGTTTTGTCTATAAAATCGCACCAAAGTCAATGGTGTCTTCGTTGCGTGTTCTTTAAAACTCTTGGCAAAATTTGCTCAACGTTCCAAGAATTTATAGCCGCGTTTTTCCTACAGAATCGTGCCAAAGTCAATGTTGTCGCTTATCGGGTTTCTGCGTAATTTATTCTGGAACCCAAATCTCGCACTTTACACGGCAACTGCTGCATATTTGCTACTTGAAACCGGCAATGTTGTCTTAGTATACGTAATTTCGACACTAAACAAGAAAGAATAACCGCTTTTGCTTCGAAATGTTGTTTTTAAACCCAGAATTAAAGTAAAATCGACAGCAGTGTTTTCATTCAGAGATTCAGAGCAAAGCATTGAGGTTTGTCTCACGAATCAAGGCATTAGATAATGGAAATTGTTAGAGTTTGAGGAGACTCGAGTTAAAATCAATCGGGCATTAATGAAAATTGTTTAGAATGAGGACAGTGAGGTAACGAAGCGAAAGCAGAGTCTGATAATAACGATATTTCTATTTAACACCAGAAGAAGAAGTTATTAGATGCGTATATTGAGAACTAGGGAAGTTGAAGCAACGAAAGTGAGACCGAGAGACAACTTGGAATCGGTGTTTAAACCGATTCCAAGTTCCGCATGCCCCCACATATAATTCTACACAAATCACTTCCTTTCAGGGATTTATCCAACCATCTCAGCTCAGAGCGCACATTTTCCACCACACTGGGGAGAATGCCTACAATTGCCCGCATTGCAATCGGGCTTTTAACCGAAAATTGCGCCTCACCACCCACATCAAGTTCATGCACGAAGGGGCTGCGCCCACACCCTGTCCAGAACCAGGCTGCGGGAAGACTTTCTTCCGCAAAGAAGACATCCATCGGCACTTGATAACGCATAGCGGCGAAAGGCGTAAGTGTCTGTTTTAGATAAAAACTATTTCCTATGGAAACTCGTATTTTTTAGCATACGAATGCGAGGTATGTAAGAAGCGCTTTGCGGTTAAATCGTCGTTGCGAGTGCACCGAAACATTCATCGAAAGGAAGCGCCGGTGTCTTGCGAGGTATGCAACAGGGCGTTTATCCGGAAGGATTGCCTTATGAGGCATATGCGAGCTCGGCACAGGTAAACCGACGTAATTTTCGTACTGGTTATGTTTTGTAACACTTGTGTGTTAATATTCTAGAGATGTTCTGGAAGATATCGTAACAAACGTTGAGAAGAAGCGACTGCAAACCCAATTATTCCAGGCAGTGGCCAATGCAGCCAACACGGAATCCTTGAAAAAGTCGATAGTTTGGAACGAGTTGACCTTAACTGGTGAGTCTCTATAGGGTTTCATTCCTCCGGTTTGAGCTGCGGTTTTTTCAGAATCAATCAAGGAACTTCTGACTCTGCTGGTTGATGACGATTGCCTATTGGAGTTGGGTCATCCAGATGCTCCAGTAGATCGCGTTTTGGAAACGGTCATTCGACGATGCGGCCACACGCCTGCTTCGGAGAGTGATTTTGACTACATCGGAAAAATACGCGAAAATGTCAAGCTGCTTTTCACGGTTAGTTTTCCAGCTGATCCTTTATGGGCTACTTGTTGCACTGTTCGATTTTCCTCAGGCGGTGATCGACGATAACTCCATTAAAGACCTGCTGAAAAGTCATACAATAGACGATGTTATTATGCACGTTTTAAAATTGGCTAGGAAGCGGGCTGATGGCACACTTTCGGACGCTGATGATAATGACCATGCAGATGATCCAGATCCATTGGGTAATCATACTGATGAGGATTCCAGTTCCGTGGAATAGAAACACCGTTCTTCAAAGAATTAGTTGAGGTTTTTAATTTCTCATTTTGAGTGTTTTATTACAAGGTTGTTGCATCTGAAATTCACAAATGTAATATAAAATATAACTACCCTTTTAAATCTAAGTCTTCTTTTGCTCAACAAGCGATTTTGGGCATTGTACATATACAATTTAAAGCGTTTATAGAATGCGAAGGATCGATTGATTTTGTAGATGTTTTCAACATTTCTGTGAAGCTCAAGTTTGCGGGCCTCATTTTAAAACATCAAAACATTTCCAAACTCTAACTGAAGTTCGCTTGCTGATAAAGGAATCATTAGTATCCGATTACACAGAATGTAATTGAATGCAGAACACTCATCGTTTTGAAGGCAATTTAAAAAAATGTGTGATTCTAGCAGCTCGAGTGTGCGATTCGTTATTGCCTTGGAAAAAGTGGATGATGGATGAGATGGATCAGGAGATGATTGTCTATATATCTAGTTTTTTCCGCTCTAAATTTATCAATATATTTTGCAATTATCAATTGTCTTGGCTTGTTGTTGTATGTTCAAATGAAGAGTAATAAAATCAACCGGATCTTCGGTTAAGCTGATTTCAGTTTAGATGAGAATGCGATCAGTGCTTGTTGATCATTTGGCCATCGATTGGTGGGAAAAAGCAGCAAAATAAGGGTTTAGTKACCGCAGTTACAAAACTCCCAAGTGTGCCCAATTAATGTTATTTAGCTGACAAAGGAGACTKTGTTAAACTTTCCTTAAGTTGACTGAAGGATGTTCTTATAAAATCATTGATGATCTTCAAGATCGAGAAAAATCAAGAGTCAATCAACGAATCGCGTCTTTCAGTTGCCTTTTGTAGAGCAACTATCGCTAGAAGTGTTGGACAGCATGTTGTGTGCAGGGTACTTGGATTTCTCAGTTGAAAAATCTAAAACTTAAAAACTTGCGCAGAAATCAACTATTACTTAACTAAAAGAGYAAATATTTCTCTGTCCAATRGTCCTAAAGTTTCCCTCTAGCTGTTCTTCATTTCGAGTAGCGAATTTTTGAAAACAAGCCTAATGTGACTGCAACTAAATTCCACTGTTCATAGTCTAAAAATTGCCAAAAATCAACCATGAAARTCTCATAGAGCAGATGTTCAATATTCAATTATATTCAATRGSCTCAAAAGCAAATCTTCAAAAAACCTATCCCGCAGCGGTGACTGCAAAAAATGGTGAAAATTGCCAAAAATCAACGGAAATTGTGACCAAATCGAGACTTATAGAAAACATTGACGAAAGATTTMGCTATCAAWTGATGTATTAATCAGTGTGCTGGCTAAGAATTGTWTTGAGTGGGAATTTTTTATACAAAACTCAATATGCCGAATGTTTTCATCAAGTGCAACAACACCAACATGTCTAAAATTCCCAMAAATCTGGAAWAATTGCGAGCATTTTCAATCTAATAGAGTAAATATTTYTCTAACAAATTGTCCTAAMAGAAACCATCTAACSGTTTGCCATTTTAAGAAAAAAAAAATTGTAAAATGAATGCGGTTAATRACAAAATTCACTGCACTTTCTTTGCATTTATTTAAAAAATTGCCAAAAATCGACGAAAATTKATWGGAAATAAACACTTTCTAATCTAAAAGATCAAAGATTTTTCTATAAAATCRTGTGTAAAGYAGTRACTCAGCTGGGCCTTGTTTTAAACGRAAAATGTTWACAAAAAAACCCAATATATGTAGAATGGGACATAAAGTYAACTGCAACACCAAAGTTCYTAAAACTGCCGAAAATGGACGAAAATTGCAAGCAAATTTACACTCTCCAATCWAATAAAGCAAAGAATTCTCTATCAAATAGATTAACAGTAACATAAACCATCTAACAAGACGAGAGYTTTMGGMAAAATTTTTGAAGAGTTAGCCGAWWGKGATATAAAATCAAATGCAACACCAAAGTTTCTAAAACTTCCAAAAAATCGAAGAAAATTGCGAACAAATGCACACTCTCCAATCTAATARGGAAAAGATCACTCTATCAATCGGCCCTAAACGAAACCATCCAACCGGTCGCCATTSTTAGGARAAATTTTTTGAAAAAGTTTATCCTGCCGTTAATGACAGAAACTTAATTCCTCCATTCGCATCTAAAMAAATGCAAAAAATCTACGAACATTTCTAGGAAATGGTCACTTTCAAATCTAAGGGAACCGAAATTTCTCTATCAAATGGCGTTACAAGAAAGCATCTAACAGTGATCTGTTAGAAAATTGAAAAATTTACCCTGCCGTTAGAGACGGAAAATTGCACTATCTGCTTTTAAAAAAGTACCAAACATCGACTAAAATCGCTAGGAAATAAATACTTTCTTCTCTAAAAACCAAAGAATTTTCTACCAAACTGGCTGTAAAAAAACCTCAAACCGTCCCAAATGCGCTTAATAGTTTTCGAGAAAGTTGACTATTTTGACCCAAAAAATCTCATTCATTTTAATTGAAAACCCT